GGCGAGTAGCGAGAGCGAAATTCGGCGAGCAATTGTTCCCTTCGGTCGGCGGCGTCTTTGCGGTCCCCGTTTAATTACAATTAATATCGAGCCGCGCTGGGTCCTGGCGCGGCCCGTTCCTCCGCGTTTCATTAATTTCGTCGTGCAGCCCGGTAATTCGCGAAAATGAGGTTCACGGCGCGCCCCGTTGCGGTGGACGTCTACGAATTCGCGCGTTTCCGTTTCGTCGGCCATGTTGATGGCTCGCATGGGAAATGCCGACGCCGCGCCGCCATCTTTACCGCAACAATTTTTTCACGATTCTCTCGTCGATGTTTGACGCATGACGGTAAACAATATACACACGGCGGATCATCAAAAATACGTTCCATATTTTACGAGCGAGAAAAATTCGTTCTGAAACGTGCACCCAATTTCCCAGGGGGGGCTGCCTTTTCTGCGACCATTTCTCTTTCAATTCCACCGACGCAGAAATTGGTGTCGCGTGGCCCTGTAACTCGTTTATGGCAATTCAATCGTTCTATCTTTCCGCGCGTTCGACAATTTATTGGACACGCAAACACGTCCGAGTGAAATTTATGCGATATTTTCGTAATTTAAGTCAAACTTTACGATATTGGTCTTATATTTTTTGTTTTATATTAGTCTTATGTTATTATTTATATTTTTTTTATTATATATTTACTGCTACTGTTTATAATGAAGATTCGAATTCGTGGAAACGATTGAAATACAATTTACGTAATATATTTGCACCCAGCTTCGAGCTGCATGAGAATTAATATTCTAAAATCTTTTTTAAATTGTGATTCTCACTAGAATATTTTGTTAACAATTTTAGAGTCTTTTTCAATTTTCTTTCAGGATAAACAAAGTGGTTTACAATACAATATTCTTGTTAACAATATCAGAGTTTCCTTCAATATTTTTTTCAGGATAGACAAAGTAGTTTTCACTACAATATTCTTCTAACAATTTCAGAGTTTCCTTCGATATTTTTTTCAGGATAAAGAAAGTAGTTTTCACTGCAATATTCTTGTTAACAATTTCAGGGTTTCCTTCGATATTTTTTTCAGGATAAAGAAAGTAGTTTTCACTACAATATTTTTGTTAACAATTTCAGAGTTTCCTTCAATATTTTTTTCAGGATAAACAAAGTAGTTTTCACTACAATATTCTTGTTAACAATTTCAGAGTTTCCTTCAATATTTTTTTCAGGATAAAGAAAGTAGTTTTCACTGCAATATTCTTGTTAACAATTTCAGAGTTTCCTTCGATATTTTTTTCAGGATAAACAAAGTAGTTTTCACTGTAATATTCTTGTTAATAATTTCAGAGTTTCCCTCAATTTTCTTTCAGAATGAGCAAAGTAGTTCTCATTGCAATATTTAGTTAACAATTTTGGACTCACCTTCAACTTTCTTCTAACGTGAACAAAATAGCACGCACTAAAATATTTTGTGAACAATGTCGGAGTCTCCTTGAATTTTCTGTCAGTGTGACGTGTCCATCGCAGAAATTTCAAATGGCCGGCCATTTCCGCTTATCCCTCGAGCAATTAACGACCCCGTGACACGAGCCATGAAATAATATTTACTTTGAAAAATGGGAACACATTAGAACAGCCGATTAAACGGTAATGAACCGACGAATTTAAAGTCTCCGGTTGAACACACCGAGGCCGCGACAAATCATCGGTTCCTCGGCAGAGCCATGCTGATTATAGCAATTTGTTAGGTTCATTAACGAGCCGTCTAATGGACTAATTGCAATATGGATCATAATGCGCGACGTAACGGGGACCGGCCGCGAATTAATTGGCCGAGAAACACGTTTCTAAATTGCGTAACGATCTGCTCGTACGTTGGCTGACATGATGGATCATTCGTGCGCGGCGATCGATTCGACGACTCGAGCCTGATTGGCCGGGACCTGGCCGCCGTTAGTTATTGCGGGCCTTCCGGATCGATCACTCGGAGAACACAGGGTCGACGTAATTTTCGAAATCATTCCGAATCAATTTCCGGTCATCGTTTTAAAAAAATACGACGCGTCGATGCGACAGAAAGTCTCAGATTTCGTACCGAGAAATGATCGAAGTTGCAATGACAAATGATTGCAGCGTTTCGATTCGAATGCTTCGGAATCGAATTCTAGACTCGAATTCGAGAAAATTACATTTTAATCGGTGATATAAAAGAACCCGATACGAATCGACCGAGCTAAACGACTGTCGAATAAAATTTTATTCGTCGCACTTCGTCTGTTATCCGTCGTCCGAACAGAATTTCGCCGTTGCGATCACCGCAGCGAAAGAAAATCGTCGGTCATTAGTGGATCGTTAACCGGATGAATAAACCAGCAATTTTATAAGTCACGACAGCCGTTGCCGGTTTTATTGGGACACCGGAAGTTTTTATACAGCGAGCGACGGATTCATGAGGATGCACGCCGAGGACGAGAATGCAACTAAAAGCCGCGACAGGTTATGCAGATCGGCTTCGAACGATCGTCTGGATCGCCGATCCGGAATCAGGGAATTACCGAGGCGTCGTTCAACTGGTCACGGGGGGATCGGAAAACAATATCGCTGGTATGCGTGCAATAAAACTCCGGCGAAAACCCGATGAAAACGCGTCCACCGGCGTTCTCGGATATTTTCGGCGGGCATCGACCGTTTTTAAAGCAGTTGTCGCCGCGATTCCCGGACGAAATTTCAAATTAATTTCCACGCCGCCATCGGCCCTTCGTATCCCGTTTGTTCCCGACGATTGCTCGTTACACGGCATTTATCGGATCGTCGAATCGGCGACGAGATATCCGCGACGCGACGCGACGCGGCGAGAACGCTTTTCGAAAAATTGCTCGCGACACTCGCCCCCGCGCGGCTCGATTGAACGCAGCGTCGGTCTACCACGGTTCCGAAACAGTTCCGAAAGGTTTTTTGTTTTGTTGGCCGATCGAGAGCGCGTTTTCGGTTTGTTGGCCTTCACCGGCGATCCCGCGGCACTTTATCTAATTTTCATCGCTGTCGGACACTTTGTCCGCGGATGATTGAAATTAACATCCAGCGAAAAATATCGGTAAATTCATTGTATTATAGTGGTGTGGCGATCGTTTTATCAGATTGTGTCACGTGGGTTCGTTTGAAGCGGTGAAAATGATTCGGTAAATCGAACGTTCGCCGGGTTTTTAACGCGGAAGGTGTTTTTTCGAACGATAAAGTTTACCATTGCTTATTAATTATTTATCGTTTGATGCTGGGTTCACGGAACACTGAAGAACTACAATTTTGATTTTATATAATAAATATTAATATTGATATTTAATATATTACAATATATTAAATATTATGTATAAATATTACATATAAATATTCTTAGAATATGTTATCATATTTAATAATATTTTTTTCTATTAATATATTACAATATATTAAATATTATTTAATATATTAATATATTACAATATATTTAATATATATAATATATATTATATATATTATATTATTATTATTAATATATATTGTACTATTATTAATATATACAATATATTAAATATTATATATAAATATTACATATAAATATTCTTAGAATATGTTATCATATTTAATAATATTTTTTTCTATTAATATATTACAATATATTAAATATTATTTAATATATTAATATATTACAATATATTTAATATTTATAATATATATTATATATATTATATTATTATTATTAATATATATTGTACTATTATTAATATATACAATATATTTAATATATTACAATATATTAAATATTAGTTATAAATATTACATATAAATATTCTTGGAATATGTTATTACATTTAATAATATCTTTTTTCTATAAACTGTAAGCGTCTGTGATTTGCTATTCGTTCCAGTTCACGGTTTCGACGAATATTTGAGCGCGACGACATTAAGTGAAAAAAGAACTCGTTTTGAAAAATAACGTCGCCGACGCAGGTCGCAAGCCGGTGCATACTGGCAGTTTTTCAAGGTGTCAATCATCGGCGCGTGGGTGGACAAATCTTTTAATCTGGCGTCGAGAGGGTAATATTGCCAGTGAAATCGTTTCGGTGAAACAAACCCGGTCGCGGCGAATAAATCACCGTACCGAAAAGTTGTAAATAAAGGTGACTTTGACGCCAGGTTTACGGAACCGGTCGAAATGACGGGTGACTAATTTGTTGATTTACGATTATTCGGATTGTAACGATACACATTTACGAGTGATTTATTCGATGTGCGCGTTACTCCGCGGCAAACGTCACGATAACACCCGTTAAAAATCGGAATAAATGTCTTATCGTTACATTCGTAAAAATATAAATCAGCCGCTTTCGGTGCTTCGTAAATCTAGCGTCAGAAATCTGATTCGACGGAATTCAGAGTACAGTAATGTCTCCCTTACTGACGCTCAGATTGTCCATAAAAATGGACTATTTTGGAAGAGAAGATACGATTATCCGAGCCTTCCGGTTCGCTTTTATAGTTTTAAGTTGTCAACAATTATAAAAACAAGGCTCGAATAATCCTATCGCCTCTTTCCAAATTGTCCATTTTTGTGGACAATCTGGGCGTCAATTAGAGAGACATTACTGTATGTATTCGTACTGTATCGATTTCGAGTCTGCACGGTAGTCGAAACGTTCGCAGCAACGTTGATAATGCTCGATGAAAATCAACAATCGCGATTCCATTTAAACGAATAAATGCTTTCGACGAAATTGCTCGGTTATCAGGTGTACGAATTGTCCGATGAAACGGGATCAATCTGGATCAAATTAAATGAAAATTGTATCAATTGTATTTCGACGCCGGGCCACGTGTTTGTGTTGCGTTTATATACTTTTTTGAGCGGACTATATTTTATACGGAATTATTTTTCGCTCGAGGCTTCGACGCTTGCTTTCGTTTCACGATTTATTTTGTCTTTTTTTTGGAGTTTGTTGCGAATGTCGCGTGAAAATGAGAATTCGATACTTACGAGTGTGTGATTGGAGACAAGAAGAGACACGGAATTGTTAGTGGTGTCCAGGAGTGTGAGGGAGCCATCGTCAGCTTGGTAAACAAACTTGTCGTGGGAGACCCAGGTTGGTGTTAACCTGTGCGGCGTCAGGTCATCACGAAGGCACTCGTCTAACGTGAGACGTCTGCCGCTCCAATACAGCAGCTCGTCGACGTACCTAAACATATTCATACCCATCGTATCCTATCTTCATTCATTACGCCTAACCGTTCATTCGTCATCAGCCGCGATTCACGAATATCCGCAGTAATTCCTAGCCTGCGGATTATTATGCAAGATAATAATTGTGTGCATCGATTGCAGCAACGAAACACAATCGAAAGTTCTTCCATCCTTTAATAATATTTTATCTCGTCAGAAATGCATAAAATTCGCTGTCCAGTAATTGCATACAAGAAGATTCTCATAAACATTAAGAAGAAGAAATAATAGCATGGAAACATTTTGGGTAAAAATTGTCCAACTTCGACTGACGATAACTCCGTAAAAAATCATCGCAAGATAATGAACTTTCTTTCAAATTGAAGCTTGAAACGTCTACTTTAAGATAATATTTCTAGATTTATTTGCAATGCAACCTCGCCGCTGCAACCCTTCAAATATGGTACCATGTTTGTCATATTGACAATTCCCAAGTTTGACGAAATGCACGGACCTCGCAAAATTTTTTTAGAGAATGTAGTTTCCAGTGAATTGAAGCTTGATTCTTCCCCTTTAATTTAGAGAAAAAGAAACTTGGCTGCGATTTTTTTTCACAAAGTTACGACGCTTTAAAGCGACCCTTGCAAAGTCCGCGCATGAGAAAGAGTTAAACAACTTTCATGCACATTAATATATAAATAATTAGGACGTCCACAACTTTTGTCTGCTGAAAGGTTGAAATAACTCGCGAAATACCTAATGAGACATTTTCGACGAGAGAGCGACGACAGCGAACGCCTTTAAGACAGCGCGAATCTCTTCGGCCACTGAAAAGAATCATTGCATCGCAATCCGGAAATGATAAATGCGCGGACACAGGCACGATTATCATCGGCGGAGCAATTTCGATGCTTCGTTTCCCGGACCAGCGTTCTTACACCAGGAGGCAATGGAATAATCCTTTTTTACGAGGAACGAACAACCGGTGTTCGAGGCTTTAATGGCGCCATTCATAGAACCAGCTCGAATCACCGATCCACTTGGTATCCTCGTAAAATCCTTAGCCGGATCCGATCCGTTTCGGGTCATACTCCTTGGCACGGGTCACGGATCGCGTCGCTAAAAGGATCGGCAGATTCCCGGGGATAAGGGGAACGGATTAATTTCGCGGAGAGCGGTCCACGGTGATCCGGTGGGCTCGTTAACGGTTCGGCCTTCGAGCACCCGGCGCAACCGGCTTTCCCGGCGAGCTATAGTTTTCTCCACGGTCGAGATCCTCGGCCAAGATAGACCCCGGATACAGGATCTGCGGGGGAACGGGCGGAAAAACGCCGGGGAAAACTCACCCGAGAAGGTAGATGGCCGTGACGATCCCGGCGATAACGAACCCGATGACCAGCAGCGAGAAGATTATGCTCCGCCAGTTGTGGCCGCCCTCCGCGTACGTTAGATCCTGTGAATAGAGCAGACAGCACGCCGGTTAACGATCCATCGATCACGGGGAAGCCGGCGGGCTTGCGGATCTACAATGCGGAAAGCTGGCGTTGACGGCATGCAGGTCACGAGGTCCTTGGACGTGTTCTGGGGACAGTCTGATCTGTTCTGGTAGTTGACGCATGCTCTGCTGATTGATTAACTGGCTTCGTCTCGGATAGCCTTTGACTGATAGAGATAGTCGGGGGAACAAGTGTTCGAGTGAGACTGTTCCTGGCCACCTGTTTTTCGTGGTGTTTTACTTATACAGGCTGTCCCAAAAATGTCTCGCAATCCGAAAGTGGCGGATTCCTCGGGTCATTTGAAGCAACTTTTTTTTTTACAAAAATGTTCTCCGAGGCACCGTTAACGAGTTATTAACGAGAAACAGTGGCCAATGAGAGGCGAGCTCGGCTGGCGCGAGGCGACCGAGCCAATGAGCGGAACTGGGCTTCGCGCGCTGGTTGGCTGGGCCGCCACGCGTCAGCCGTACTCGATTCTTATTGGTCACTGTTTTTCGTTAATAACTCGTTAACGGTGCCTCGGAGAAAATTTTTGTAAAGGAAGAAGCTGCTTCAAATGATCCGAGGAACCCGCCATTTCCGGATTGCGAGACATTTTTGGGACGCCCTGTAGAAGGGATGATACGCAACTCGGAAATTCGAGAAGTATTGAAATCTTCGGGATACGTTGAGCATTTGTGCATACAATGCATCACGCAATTTTGTATTCATGAGTGAATTCAACTCGAGAGCTGGAAATTAGTCATGGAATAATCGGCTGCTTTTTATTTTATTAATGTAATTCGCAAATCGTACAAGATATGAAAGAAATCTTCAAACAAAAGTTACGTCTTTCGTACAGTTAGCGGATTACAGATAATAAAATACAGCCGAATATTTGGAGCTTAATTTCCATCTCGTAAAATTGCGCAAGGACACGAAATTGCCTAATACAAATCTGCACGCGCTGTACACATTCTCAGAATTTCAGAATTTCTTGAATTTTCGGATTGGGGATCAACTCTTGTTAGAATGGGTGTTGAGGTGCTGGATATGTTGATATTTGGGATGTTGACGGATGTTTACGTGAGTGGTAAATGAAGTTTGTGGTTCAGAACTCAAGATAATGTTCTTGTCGTGTCCACTGCAAAACATGATACTGTCATTACTGCACGAAACTCTCAAAAGAAAGCACTGGACTGTACAGTTTTTCAATTCATATATTATTCTTTTAGTAAGGAAATACAATACATGGTTCCACAACGTGAAAGCACCTTTACTTTTTGACTGAAGACGTGGCCAAAGATGCTTGTTTATTTGTGCAAGATTAACGAAGAATGTGTGAAAGAATTACCAATAATACAGCAGAGTACATGGTATTTCAAATAGTCCATATAAAATTTTATTATACTTCGAAGGGAGTATAAAATTATGGCATTTCCGGGAATTGAGGGATTCCTGAGGTGATTTGAAGAAACTTTTTCCTTAGCGAAAATGCAATCCGCGGCTTCGTTTACGAGTTATTAATGAAAAACACTGACCAATGAGAGATCGCTGATGCCCCGCCCTCGCGACCACTGCCGTCGCGTCAGACAGCCGGCGCGACGCGCCATTGGCCGTGAGGGCAGAGCACCAACCATACTCGCTCTCCGATTGGTCAGTGTTTTCCGTTAATAACACGTAAACAAAGCCTCGGATTGCATTTTCGCTAAGGAAAAAGTTACTTCAAATGACCTCAGGAATCACCCCTTTCCCAATATTAACAAAATAATGGCACACTTTGTATATACAAAATGGCTACATAAAATCTCTTCCTTTTCATATCTTCCTCTATAACAAAGGGTTCTTTCACCCGTATACATGAATAAATAAAATAAATAAAAAAAAGAAAGAAATAATTTTGGCCAGCTTTTAGGGACGAAATGCTTCACCGCGCGTCGTGTGGCACTGTTTGCTCGTGATTTATGGAAGCAGCGAAACCGAACGACGAATGAAATAATGAAAAGAAGCCCGCAGGTGTCTCGCTGTTCGTCGATACGTTTAAATAGCCGTTTTATTTTGGCGATCGACGAGGACGTTCCCGGGTCGGGCGGGTTCGATCGCGTCGACGCGGACGGTCACAAGAATATCGGAAGTCTTTCGACGCGGCGGCGGTGGTTGCCGGACGCGCGCGTCACGTCGCCGGCATGCATATTGCATTCGGGTTATGTTTGCAACTCCGGGCACCCTCGTTCTGTTTGCGGGACTAAGCCGGATAACACGTACCGGCGGTGTAATACGTCCCGGCAGCGGCGCGGCGCGGTCGGATTTTCGGGACCTGTTAGAATCGCCACGCGACCCGACTCCCACGCGTGCACCCGCTGCCGAAAACGCGTTACGAGCGCAAACACGGCCGTGTTTGCGCGCCGGGGACCGATGTCGCGACGCACCGCGCCGGGAACGCTTACAATTAGAGCGGCCCTGTCTCCGCCGGCGTATCGATTCGACGCGTAAACGCGGTTAATCCGCGCCGCTGTTTGCTCGCACGGAATTGTCGTGAACGATCATCGTTTAATCCGCCTCCAGACCCGACGGGCCTGGCCTCGTGACATCCGCCGGGTAAATGTCCTTCTGCCAAGCCCACGCGACCCGGAAATGCGGCCGGAACAACGCAAGACGCACCCTGTTTTTGCATTTCAACATTAACTTAACGTTTCGTTCGATTCATTTTGGCCGAAATTCGATTTAGGATCTTTCTCGTCCTGCTCCATCGAATTTACGAGGCTTGCTGAGGAAATTTGGAAACGATCGGATCACGGTTCGATCGGTGTAGCATTCGTCGGAGTTTCAAAATATCGCTGACTCGATCCGTTATTTTGGAAATAATTAATGTTTCTGAATAAAAAAAAAGGACACTGTCCGCACTCGTCGATTTTGATGGAACCGCTGCGAGAAGTGATCACCGGACAAATACGATATGACGCGTATTTTTTTTTTTTTTTGATTGACCATCGTCGATGTCGGCAACGTGAAAACAGCCCTTAAAATTTCGGCCGATAAAATGAATGAATGAATGGCCGATAAAAGTACACGCGTGTCAAATGTTTTTGCAAAAACTGCCACTCACAGGTATCTCGTCGAAATCGGTGCAAAAACGTGTTTAATGGAGTGACAGAGAAAGCTGATCATTGATTCGTGTAATATTAAGCATTGTCGTTTGGCCAACAATGTTTAATGTTATTTCGAGATACGATTGTGTTCGGAAATTAATTTGAAACATTCATATTCATAAACATTACCGCGAATATGATATAGAATTATCGCTCTAATTTGGCAGAAAATAATGATTACAACGTGACACACGAAATTTTTGATACATGCTTTGACTGTTACTTTAAAAGCATACAAAATTTGTAGCCACAATACCGGATGTTTATTTCTCAAAAATTCTGCAACATCGCCTTACAATCAGAATCGCAAAAGGAAGGCTTCCAAAGTGGATCGGGAGGGTTGCTTATTCGATGTGCACGAATTACATCGTATCTTTCTGCCGTTTGAAATTGGATCTACTCGATTGATGCCATAAATGGTAAAGTTTGTGCAGAAACTATATATTCTTCGAAAATATTCCGCGCACCCGATGTATGGCAAGCCTCGTTATACGTAAGCATGAAAAATGTTTCGCGGAACGTCGGCTTCTCTTTTCCCCATGATTCCAAGGAACTTCCGGTAAATCATGCTCCATTTTTCAACCCCTGTAACCCGACCCCGGCGATCTTCTCAACAAAACGATACTTCAACGGTATTCTTGCTTAATTCGCCAACGGATTAAACAACTTGCAAACTCGAGACCAGAATGATACAGAAAAAGAAAAGTAGATACAAGAAATAAAGTTGCTACTCATCTTAATCGTTGAAGATTTCGAAACTAATTATTAAAAGCCCCGGGTGCATCACAGAACTCCGGCGATGCATCCGAGTGCATCACAGAACTCTGGCGATGCATCCGAGTGCATCACAATGCTCCAAGAACGCGTCTGCGTGCAACACAATGACCTTAGAATGCACTTGAGTGCACGACAAAGCTCCAATATCGTATCCGAGTGCACTATAATGATCCAAGAATGCACCTGAGCGTATTGCAAAGCATCAAGATTGCATCCGAGTGCGCTATAATGATCCGAGAACGCGATTGAGTGCATTATAAAGCTTCGAGAATGCACTCGAGTGCATCGAACGTGTTTTACTACTGAACTCGAACATTTCGAAACTAATTATCAAAAAGTCCCGGTGCATCGTGTGGTACCGATAATGCATCTGAGTGAATTATAAAAAGCTGCAAAAGTGCACTGTAGCGCATCGAACGCGCGTCTTTGATTTATATTAACGCGGGTAAATGTCTCCATCGTTCTCGACGTCGATCCGATGAACCATCGAAGAGCGTTAAATCGCGATCGGCGCACACTTTTTGGCTGCTGCAACGATCACCGAGGAAACAGCATCGCAGCATGCAAATCGACGAACGATTGGCCGGCATCAGGACACGGTAATCGCTTTCGGACGACTTGTTTACCCTGATGAATAATCGTCGAACCCCCGCGAGTTCTTCCGATCCGTGCGGCCTTTTTCTCTCGCGATCCCTTCCCCTCCCCCCCATTCGACGTGCTCTTTATTCCGTCCGTTTCGTTGCCCGTCCCGCCCCCCGCGGCCTCTAATGTCGCTCTTTCGAGTTCCGGTTAGTTGATCGATTCATCGTCTTTGAATTCCGAGCATGCAACCGTGTGCACGTGCGCCCCGAGCAGGATATAATGTTTTCGATACGCGAAGACGGGAGGGTTACGCGGGATCGCGGCTGCATCAGGATGCAACGTGATCGGGCACGCTTGTTTGCCGGTGCGCCCGGGCGCACTTTGCGGGATTATTCGTTGTAATTCAACGGGCGGATCCGGGGAAACGTTAGAACCGTTCCCGCGGCGGTGTTGAATGCGTGCACACACGC